GTCACATTACGGAATATCCTGGTCTGACATACCGTGCAGATTGTAGGGGGAACCAGGAGTTGTTGGCGGCGGCGTGTGGGTGGTGGTGCGGTTGTGTGTGTTATGTGGTCTGTGGTGGCTGTGGTACGGTCTGTGGTGTTATTATGTTGTTGTGTTGTGGTGACTGTGTGTGGCTGCTGTGTGAGTGTGTGGGGCTGCTCGGGCGGACTATGGTTAGCCGTGGAGGCTGCTCTGTTTGAGCAACAGGGGGCCACGTACGACGTGGTCCACTGTCTGTGTGTCCGTAGTCCCGAGCAGACCATGAGGTGACTCCACCCCTCGCAGGCATTACACTTGACTGAGGTGGAGTTGTGGTGTAATCGTCTTCGGCATACACAGCAGGTGTATGTTTCTGGCCCAGGGTTTGACTCGATGCCAGCCCTGAGTAGGAGAATGCGTAGTGAATGTAGCCCTATGGACGGACAACTTCTAAGATACTTCGCCGACCTAAACGGGGTTAGATCGCCGAAACAACAGCCCTTGGTCGGGTGAAACCCGAGTCATTCCGGTACGTAGAACCGGCTGTCGTGGGAATGTTTGAGTAGTCGTCGAGTTGTATGGTGAACCATCTCTTTCACATTTAAAGAAGCATAAGTTTCGTTCACATCTATGGCACTTTCTGGTGGAAAACATTCTTGCTTAGCCCTTTGCAAAACGTGTTTTGAGGGATATAAATTATGTCCTGCAGCAATCGCCTGTTTTCGTAAAACTAAATAGCTATTTCGCGACAATTTGGCATCGACATACAAAGCAAGTGCTTCTTCACCTGTGTACATTCGTTTGGATTTGTATTTTTGTAAATTCTTGTATTGCATTGCAATTTCGGGAGATTCGCTTTCACTTTGCATTAGTTTGGCTGCTACACGAAATCCACTTGAACGTTTAGACATAAGAGCCGCATCAGATCGTGACTGAAGAAGATCACGTACTTTGTAACGTTTTGCTCTGTCGTCGCAACTTTCAAATCTTTTTGTAGGTCTTCCACGCTTAGAAGTGGAAGGTAACTCATCCAGCGTATTCTGTTCAGATTGCTTATCACAATTTACTTCCGCCAAAACAAAGTCGTTTTTAAGCCAGAGCTCATATTTTTCTAGTAATCTACAACAAAACGTGCTATTCCTATTTGAATTTTTCGCTTCATTTCATTATCCAAGTCTGAAATGTTAGCTTTTTCAAATGTTCGCGAACACAATTGATACATTTATACAATAGATAGATATTCAATGTTATGATTAACCACATTTCGAGTATTGTTCGACCATACTAGACCCTAGCTAGTGAGATGAAAAACAGAATGCAGAAATTGCAAAACAAAGGAATGCGTCGTATTTTACTATGTAATGGGCTGACCCCGATCACATATATGCTCGAAACTTTAAAATGGCTTAACATTAACCAAAGAACACTGATGAATGTTTTACTTTTTGTATTTAAAATGAAATATAATTTGTTACAGAAGTACCTAACGAACCAGATCGTATATGTAGGGGATGTAGAACCCTACGACTTTAGAAACAAGAATGATTTCAGAATTAATCTCAATAAATCTAATAAGGCACAGAATATTTTATTGTATAAAGGGCTGAAACTATTTAATGAACTGCCTAGTAATATAAAGAATGAGAAAAAACATCATTGCATTTAAGAAACTTATAATAGTTTACATTAAAGAAACCATACTTTAATTCGCAATAAGTCTATAAAATAGTATTGAAACTATGTACAGTGACGAGCAAAACTGTAACATGGTTTAACACTTTTTATTTCAGGCACCGCTATATTTCCAAGTTCTAACGACTTTCATTCTTTTGTTGTATATTCTTGTGGGTGCACCCCTACTCCCTCTCTCATAACGATTTCAACAATAACAACAACATACATACAACAACAATAAAAAAACCAGCAGACAAAAATGTAAATTAAGGCGAATGTTACAGTTTTGCACTCACTCTCAGTTTTGCATTTTACAGTTATCTTTTACTTAGTTGGAAGTCCGATGACTTTTTTCTGTATTATAATTTATTGAAGAAGTGATCACCAGTAAATAATATGGTTAATCGGGAACCATAAATGTAAATAATAGATTTACTGTGGAAAAGCGGGACGGCAGGAAAAGTGGAAGTTTACTACTTGAAAATTGTAAGACTGTGAAAAAATATAGCCTAAAGTGTTCCCAAGCACAAAGGACGTCTGCAAAAAATATTACCGTCCGATATCTTGTGAACTTAGCAACAAGTAGCGATGCAGCAACTATTACAGAAGCGCTTAAGGCATTAAACTTTAATGCAAATGTAGACAACGAAGGGAAGAATTGCCAAGTTGAGCGCAAAGGCATCATAAAAGAAGAAAAAAGCAAATTTGATCAAAATACATGTGCGAAAGTGGCAGCATTTTGCTACATCGCACGAAAACCGGACCGTTCCTTATTGGGATATGTTAGGCCTTTCAGAATGCAATAAAAAAATGTTTGAGTTTCAATTGAAGGTTATTTGGTCTGACAATACTAAATTAATTGCTTTCAATCAGATGGCCGGGCATGGTATTGGATCAAACACCCAAATTAAGCCCATGCGCATGATGTAAGGCAAACTGTGAATCACAGTGGTCGGTCAATAATAGTTTAGAGGTTGTATTTCAAAAATTTTGTTGGTTCGTTAGTACGCATTATGCGTAAGGAACACTATCTGTTCATATTTCAACAAAATATGCAAGATGTAGTCGAAAAAATGGGTTTCCGCTGAAAAATTCCCCAAAACACACTGCGCATGTTGGCAAAGACTGGATACAAAAGCAAAAATTTGCTAATTTGAAATGACCTCCACAATCCGCGGAAATGAATCTTATCGAAAATTTGCGAAATCAACTTAAAGCACAGCTTACTAAGTATCCAAGTCCGTCCAATGGAGTATTAAGCTGTGAAAGCAAACTAAGGATTTATGGGAGGATATACCTCCAGAATTTTTACAGAGATACAAATAAGGTATGCCAAATCGCACCCAGGAACTAAAAAAAGCAAAAGGGTACTGAAAATTGTGTTAAGAATTCTTTTTTTCGTGAAAGTTGTAAAAAAGTTATTAAAAGTATTTAAGTGCAAAGCTGTAACATTTGCCTTAATTTACATTTTTGTCTGCTGGTTTTATTATTGATGTTGGATTGACTTCAGATCGTTATGAGCTAGGAAGTACAGGTGTACCAATAAGAATATACAACAAAAGTATGAATATCGTTAGAACTTGGAAAGAAAGCGGCGGCTGAAATAAAAAGTGTTACACCATGTTACAGTTTTGCTCGTCACTGTATATGTAAAAATGTACCTGAAAGTTTAAAAATTGCTAATGCTAAATAAAGAAATAATAATAATATACGCGTTTTACTTAATCAATTAATGAATGAATGTAAATGAAAGTATTACAAACGCATCCGAACATTATTTAAATGAAAAGTGGGGTTTTAAATTAAAAATTTGTGATAGTAGTCGGGGTATTTTAACAACAAATTACTTAAATATTATTATCAGCAGCATTGTGAAAGTGATAACTTCAGTTGAAGAAGACCTCCATAAATATCCCCTTTATAAAACCTTTATAAAAAAAAAAAATCGGTATACTTTAAATGATATAGCTACTGGTTCCGTAATGGAAATCCCAGCCGAGAAAAGAGTACACGCAAAGGATTTCACAAAAATGTATTGAAATGTTACTATTTTTCAAAAGTGAAAAATTGAATAAAATTATAGTTTTAAAAACTAACAGCCGTATTCTAACAAAGTCACTAACTTGAGCTCATCACTGCTGTGATTTCTGCTGCGCCTCAAAGCTTGCCGCTACAAAAAATATGCCGCTACAATACAAATTTTTAAATTTTTGTGTATTTTTCAGCACTCAAAATCTAATTTTTTGTGACACATTTCTCGGCGCACTAGAAATCACAACAGTGATGAGCTAAGTTTTGTGACTGTTAGAATAGAGGGGTAAACCTCCCTATTATAATTGCCATTCGTACTGTCATCAGGTATGTAACTTGAGAAAAGAAATCGCTGCATTGCATTTGCATTTGATGTAAAGTATGCTCAAAAATTGCACGGTTTGAGTAAAGTTGGCAGCCCAGAACCAAAATACAACATCACGCGGGCACGTCAGGAGGCATCTATATGAACTGACGGACGAAGTCCAGAGGTTCATTAAGCAACCTCAACATAACGCGGGCAGGAGAGTAGCCCGTTAAGCTGAAATTAGTCGAGAACGCAGAACGTATACTTAAACGCAGTCTGTATACACAGAATTTTGTCGATTACTGGAGCCCTCAGTGTTGTTTACTACACTGCTGCCACTGTTCAATGCCTTTTCATAAACTTACCCTTTCAACTACAATTTTTCGCTATAATAGATTTTAGCTAAATATAAACTACTTAGTTTTCAACAAAAACCTTATTCAATAGTAAATTTCAAATATTTTAAACATATTTTGAGTAGGAACTCATATTTTTTTTTCCATCTGTAAAAAGACGAAGTGGCAACCATTTAAAGAAGGAGAAATCAGCTGACACGGAAAAATCTAAATTCCGCAGATTTCTGCGCTACGGGCTACAACTACAGAAAAATTCTGCGGTGCTGACTCGGGTTTACGTACCGGTAGGTTTACGTTCTTGACTAATTTCAGCTTTAGAATCGCATTTAGGAAAAAAGTTTAACGATTTTGACAATAGCCGTTTGTTTACATTTCTTCATTGTTTACAATTTGGTGGTGGCCTTTTACAGCAATTACAGCATTTTCGCCTGTGACAACGTGTGTACAAATAAGGAAAAGAATAATTTAACACAACGGCATGATTTATAGAAGAATTTGCATAATAAAAATGATTATTCATGCGTTCAACAATTTCGCGGTTTTCTCCGTTCTCTTCGTTGTTTACTTCTTACAACAAAGATGGCGTCGAGATTTCGGCAGCTAGAAAATAACTTGTTTCGTTCTTTCCTTCCCGCGTGATCTTGTGTCTTTCGTTCATGCATATGTACTAAATGAACTTACCTCCAGTGCTTTTTCTAGCAGATCGTCGGCGCTGATCTGTAGCACATATTGTCTCCGGCTCTTCACTATCTAAGCTGGATAGACTGATGCTCTTGTTTGTTATATTCAGGTCATCAATAATTGTCCAAGACCTACGACGCCCATTCAAAGGAATGTATTGTTGCTGTTGTGGCATCCACCTTACACAATTACCGATAGTATTTGTTACATTGACCGTAATATTTGCGGCATTAAGATTAGGTAGAGAGGCGCTTAGGACTGCAGCATTAACGGGTCCAAAACTATTGAAACTATCATTCATGTGAGCACAATTTTTCATTTGTACTACAGTTTCCCGTATATTTTGCAATTGGCTCAACGTATCCTCGAAAATATTGTTATATTTTGTTATTGAAGCCGGACTATGAGGCGTTACGTTTATTGTAGGAATCATATTGTTCTCCGTTGAAATATTAGCTGAGAGAACCGAAGACGTGTTGATAATAGGAATACTATCACTTTGGCTTTCACAATAGGGACGCTGTTGACTTTTTAAGAAATGTTTGGTCGCATTGTGTATTCGGATTTGCGAAATGGGTTCACTTACACAAATAACGAGATCAGGATCGGAAGTGGCGTTGGAATTCAAGCCACATCGTTGTCGCTGTCATTGCCTTTGCAGCCATATCTATTTGAGATCAGCCCAACAAATATGACCACTCTGTTTCATCTTTTATTAAAAACCTTGACCAAATTGTTCGAAATTAACCACACCAATAATTTGATGAAATTCATCCTCACAATTTTTAAAAACTGTTGCATCCATTCAATAGCGAGACTAGTAAATTAATTTTGCTAATTAATGCAAGCTTATCTATATCACTAATCTACATATCCCATTTGAATGTTTTGTTTTATCCACTGAAGAAAATTTTCTTGCTAAGGGGTCTGTCACACGGTCAGTAATAATCACGATATTTGGATCGCGATCCATATTGATGGATTGATGGATCGCGCACGAATGCTACATGTTCAATATTTGTCGCGTCAGTATTTGCATAATTTTTGTGCTGAAAGCTTATTATGACGCAAGAAAATGTTTTTATGTTGTACGTATAATTTACAGATAATGCATTCCACAATTATTTTAAAATTTTCAATGTTAATTAAAACTTGTTTTGCAAGATTTTAAGCCCCGAGAGCGAAGGCAGAGCCGATGTTCGCATTATGAGAGTAAAAGATGTACTGACGAAATGTATGGATCGCGATTTGAAAGTGCTACACGTTCAATATTCATTGATGGTATTGCGATCCGCGATCCAGATTTCAAAATTTTTAGGCTGCATTTCTTTATTCATTCTTAACGTTTGGAATAAACTTTTTTGTTTATTTATTCTTTAGAACGTACCTGATGATATGGTGACGTATATTTCAAACGCATTCTGTTTATTCCGGCAGTGAAATGGGATTATCCGGAATGTATAAAGAAACGCAGCCTTAGAAATTTTGCAGTATGGATCACGATCCATCAATACTGCATGCAACACCGTCAATAAATACCGCGATACTTGGATCACGTCAATAAATACTGACCGTGTGACAGTGCCCTAAAAGCAAACACACGAACTTGCCTTAGGGCCGGTTGTTCAATGTCTGATTAGCACAAATCGGAGGTAGAAGCTCCGGTTAAGCACAACTACTGCTTTATCGATCACATGTTACATGCATGATGTTGAAATCGTCGATAGTGTAGTGGTAGTGATAACCAGACATTGAACAACCGGCCCTTAATCGCTTTGACAGATTAAAAACGGTGCTGCCAATGTTTTAAAATTATGAGAGGTATTCACACCCACGGTGCAGCGAACAAAGGTGGCGCCGTCAGTGGTACCGCTACTTTGGTTTTGCCGATTTTGACAGTTGTGGTAACTTGTAAATAAACCTTTGTTTACAAGTATGCGAAAAAATCATTTGAATTAGAAGTGAAAAATCAGTTTAAATTGTGTTAATTTGCAATTTGTGAGTGATTTTTGAGTTGAAGACTGCGTAAAATCGAATAAAAAGAAGTGCTGTGTGTTAAATTGCGACAGCCATCAAGATGCAAGATGCGTAGATGCAAGTGTAGCGCTTGGACGAATCGCTGCATTTTGTGTACATAGGGCACGGCAAAGCCATTCCCGAAATGTTTCTTTATTATTACAATAACAGCATTTCCTCACAATGATTTTGCTTCTGCTCCAAACAGCCCCCATTAGCAAGTTAACTAATCAATCCCGCTGAGATGCTGCCGCAGTTTTGTGCAGCAGCCTGAATTGCAAAGCAATGGAGTGCACTAAAATGTTACCTATTCTCTAATAGGTTAGGTAAAAATGCAATATTTTCGCATTTAGCAAAATTAAAACACGTTTTTCGCTGTAAGGTGAACTGTTTTGGCAGTTTCAACTCGTTCTTCTTTTCGCTCTATTCTTTGTTTACTTGTGGTACACAAATGTCAACGCGCAGGACGGCGCAATCTTGTATTCTATCATTCTTGATTCACACCTAGCTTGGTACTCTCATGATTCTGTTACTGCCATACCTAAACAAAAGCGTTGTGCGGAGCGGTTTCTGACGCCTAGCGTTAGCGCCGAAGTGCCATACCTAAACAAAAGCGTCAAAGCTACGTCAAATGCAGAAAAAACACCAACAATAAGCATAGGTTTGTTTGTTTGTAACACGAAAATGACAGTTTCGCCGTTATCTGCAGCCAACTTCAATACCTAACGCCCTGTCAAAATCTGATTTTCCAACCGCTCAGCGTTGACGCAGCGTTGTTTCGGTATGCTTCATACGAATTGTATGGGCATGAGAATTTTTTGACAGCCGGACAACGTTGACGCTTTTGTTTAGGTATGGCAGTTACTTAGGGTTTACAACGACCAATATTGTCAAAACAATTATGTCAGTATGATGTGTTTGTTGTAATATGAATTCGCCGTGTTTACAACAAACACATCATTTTGACTTAATTGTCTTGACAATATTGTCTGGTGTAAACCCTAAGTTAGGATTATTCCATCAAAGAAAAGTTGCGTTCCAGCAGCGGTACGAATAGCAGGTTTTGCAGGATTTTACAGGATTTACAGGAACAGCTGTTTTCGCCATTAATAAGCCTTATGTAAGGTGTCGTGCAGGAACAGCTTCCTGTAAAATCCTGTAAATTCCTGCTATTCGTACTGCTGCTGGCACGCAACTATTAATTTTAAGGTAAAACCGCTAACCCCACGTCTCCACCTTCTCAGATTCTGTTAAAAAAGCTGCTTTAAGAAAGAAATGTCAGGTGGAGACCGCAAATTTCCACTTTCAAACCATATCTATCTTGCCGAATTTCTTACCACGATGCCTTAACATCAGCTGTCATTTCGTAGTTGACAACTCAGTTTTCATTTTACCGCGCATCTACTTTGGGTACAGATCGATCTGATTGGCTTGATGCCATTTTGAAAGTGACATGTTAAGACTGCAAGTGGCCCACACGAGAAAACGGGACAAAGTTAAAACATAAATTTGACAGATGTTAAGACACATATAGTAGAAAAAGGAGACGTGGGGTAAGAGGCAGCCTGAACATTTTTAAAGTTTGTGGCTACGTTTTTTTATACATTCCGGATAATCCCATTTCACAGCCGGAATAAACAGAATGCGTTTGAAATATACGTTAACATATCATCAGGAACGTTCTAAAGAATAAGTAAACAAAAAAGTTTATTCCAAACATTCAGAATGAATAAAGAAATGCAGCCTGTATGTTAACAAAAATGTTTTCTAATTCTAAGTCTCATAAACATTAAATCTCATTTACAACCTCAACTGAAAGAGGCATTTGAGTTGCTTTCAAAATTTCAATTTTACATAGTAGACAAACTTTCAAAAATAAATGATGGCCAATGAATTGAGCGAGCGCTTTTTCCTTTAAATATTTTTACCATGCGATTATCCTACATTAGCAAAAAATAAAAGATCACGCAAGAACGCGACATTGTATTTGTAACTGGTTTTCAGAAAAAAGGCATAAATAGAGAATACCTAAAATTTTCCAATTAAAAAAAAAGTATGCGGGGATCGATAGAGTTCATTGAGGTCAGCGTAGCGGAATTTCTTTTTTGTTGGGGAAACAACAACCACAAAAGGTTAATAACGCTAAAAGCTTAAACTAAGGTTTTTTTTTTAAATCAAAAATTTTCAAAAACACTTTCATGGATTTTAAAATATTGTCATTCGATAGATAATTTTTTTCTCTTTAATTTGATGTACATGTGTTGTATCCGCCTTGTATAGTTTTCACAAAAATCGAATTTATGTAAAAAATAATTTAAAACATTCTTACAAACCCATTTTTTTAATCACCTTATTAGTTATACTAAAAATTTCTGGAAATATATAGAAAATTTATAAGCAATCATTTGATGCATAGTATGTAGTCAATAGTCCTTACTTTACACAGAAAGGTGAAATCAAATTAGTAAAGGTTATAATCCCAAAGCGCGGCCAAGGCCGCCTACGCAGAAAGGTGTTCTCTGGAAAAAGTGTTCTATGGAAAAGGTGTTCCGCCTCTCTTCTCCGGCAACACAGAACGAAGAAATCTACTAAGTAAAGGTTATAATCCCTAAGCGCGGCCATTTGCGTATAACTAAAAAGGCGATTTGAAAAAATGGGTTTATACAAATTTTTTACATTAATTCATTTTTTGTGAAAACTATACAAGGCATATATATTATATGTACATCAAATTAAAGAGAATTAAATGCCAAAGCGCGGCCGAAGGCCTCCTACGCTGAAAGGTGTTCTCTGAAAAAGGTGTTCCGCCTCTCTTCTCCGGCAACACAGAAAGGAGAATTCTACTAAGTGAGGGTTATAATCCCTAAGCGCGGCTGAAGGCCGCCTAATCAGAAAGGTGTTATCTGAAAAATGTGTTCAGTCTCTCTTCTCCGGCAACACAGAAAAGGGGAATTCTACTTAGGGCCAATTTCAAATGAATATTTAAATGACACTTAAGTTTAATTGTGGATTGTTGTTGTTTAAATTCAATTTAACTTTCGTCGGATTTGAGATCAACTTTGATTAAATATACAAAACAAATGATAGCATTGCTGCTTTTTCCTTGAAGTTGTTGTGGCATTTGCTTGTTTGTTTACATTTTGTGCTGAACAGCTGATTGTTTTTAGGTGGGATTGATTAAACAACCTACCAATCAATCTTGGTTGTTTGGTACAAACACAGGGTTGCATATCTAATATTTAAATAGCCAATATTGGAAGTTATTCAACAATCTGAACTTAAATAGGCCATCTGAAATTGGGCCTTAGTGAGGGTTATAATCCATAAGCGAGGCCGAAGGCTGCCTGCGCATAAAGTTGTTCTCTGGAAAAGGTGTTCTGCCCCTCTTCTACGAAAACACAGAAAGGGGAATTCTGCTTAGTGAGGATTATAATCCCCAAGTAAGTCCGAATGCCGCTAAGCAGAAAAGTGTTCTCTGCAAAAGACTTTCAGCCCCTCGCAACAGAGAAAGGAGAGTCCTAGTTAGTGAGGGTTATAATCCTTAGGCGCGGCCGAAGGCCGCCTACACAGAAAAGTGTTCTTTGCAAAAGGTGTTCAGCCCCTCTTCTTGGGCAACACAGGAAGGAGGATTCTACTTAGTGAGGGCTGTAATCCCTAAGCGCGGACGAAGGCCGGCTACGCAAAAAAGTGTTCTCTGCAAAAGGTGTTCAGCCCCTCTTCTTCGGCAACACAGAAAGGATAATTCTACAAAGTGAGGGTTATAACCCCTAGGCGCGGCTGAAGGCCGCCTACGCAGAAAGGCGTTCTCTGGAAAAAGTGTTCTGCCCCTCTTCTACGGCAACACAGAAAGGGGAATTCTACTTAGTAAGGGTTATAATCCCCAAGTAGGGCCGAATGCCGCCTACGCAGAAA